TTCTGGAATCATACCATCTTGGCCATCACATAATCTTAGCCATCATCGGGAATTAAGGAAGCCGTTGTCCTCCTGGAACACACTGTGATAGCTATTAATACCACCTGAGATCAGGAAGCTGCTGCCAGAATAGTTGACTCCGGGGCCACGTCACACCTGCAAGGTCACACCAGCAAAATGGAGGCCTCACACTCTGCAACTCTTCCCCAGCAGTTCCATCTTCAGATCTCACATGCAAGCATCACTGTAAAGTGTGTTCACTGCTCAGAAAATACTGAGTGAGACAGCATGATGACAAGTAGGGCAGTCAGCAAGTGGTACAGATGGTGGTACCAAAGCAGAAACTTGGTGGAAGGGAATTCCAGATTAAGATTCCAATAAAATCAGATCACTGCTTCATATGAGATCAGAGGGATCCAGTGTAATTAAACTGACATGAGCAGGAATTCCCTAGCAGTCCAGCAGTTAGGAGTCAGTGCTTTCACTTCCAGGGGCCCAGGCTCAATCCCTGGTCAGGGAACTATAATCCCACAAGCCGAGCAACCCGCCTCCCCACCCTTAAACAAAGCAAAACAACAAGAACCTGACAGGAGGTACCCTGTTGGAGTGTCTGGATTGTGTCGCCAAGTCTAGAGATTCAGGGTTGTTTGCTGCAACTGACAATTTGGGCACTCAGCAGTGACAGGTGGCAGGTTATCCTTGCAGAGGTTGTATAACTGTGATCCGTGGCCCTGATGCTCATGGCCTAGGATGGCAGGGGAGAGCTGCCCAATGAAGGGAACAGAAGCGGTGCTGAGGAACTGCAAGGGCCACCTAGAAGGGCCTTACTGACAAGATAAAGGGGCCAAGTGCATGGACTGAATAGTGGAGGCTGATAAGAAAAGAGACATCCCAGCAGATGCCTTCATGGAAAGATGTGCCAAGAACAGGTAGGGTACATTATACCTCAGAAGATGCTAGCCTGGGCAGTGTCCCTTATCTGAGGTCATGATAGCACATAATTCTGAGACTTAATGCTATCCAGGTGAAGAGGAAAAAGAAATCCTGAAGTTGACCTAGTTTAAACCTCAAATAACCTAAAAAACCTTGATCCTGACTTTAAGAGGTTTCGCTGTCTTCATACAGAATGACAGTTTAAAGAGGAATTGTTATTGGAATATACAATTGTTTCTCTTTTTTTGTAATTGTATTAGTTGGCTTGAAGATTTATACTTGCTACACAGCCTAAGTCATTGATGCAATCCTTGAGTTGGTTGACTTGAATACAAATTACCTAGTATGGTGTAGTAGTTAAAGGCATAGATACAGGGACCAAATTGCTCACATTCAAATCCCAACTCTGATCCCAGTAGCTTAGGTGAATTACTTACCCACTGTGTGCCTCCATATCCCTATCTATTATTTTATAAAGCACAGAAGATGATGGAAATAGAACCAAATTCATCAGTTTATTGTTAGGATAAAATGAGTTAATGTGACTGGAGGATTTAAAACAGTTCCTAGCACACAGTGCTGTATAAATATTTGCACCTTCAGATGAATGTTTGAAACCTTTAATCTTGAAACTTCTATGGTTGCATGACCCCTGAAAGAATTTTGGAAAACTATGTACTTTCAAGTTGATATCTAAAAGCATCACCATTTAAATAATTGCAAAGGACCTAATTTTTACTGTACTATAAATATTAACATTTAGAAAAAGTTATGTCACTTTTTAAAAATACATTCATTAGAGCCTAAGTACCACAGGAATTTTATATCCACTTACACACTTAATTTTTTTCCACCTTATTCACTTAAAATCAATAGATGGACAGGCTCTTAACAGTTGGGAATTTTACATCATTCTTCTTTTTGAATTTGTATTTCACTCTATCCACAGAATTATAAACTAAAATAATGTATTTATTAGTGTAGGAAATGGCAGTCCATTCCAGTATTCTTGCCTGGAAAATTCCATGGACAGAGGAGCCTGGTGGGCTGTAATCCATGGGGTCACGAAGAGTTGGACATGACTGTGTGATTCAGCACACACAAAGGACTTATATGCTTAAAACTCTCTTACTGACCATCACCATGTCATACTTCTCGGTAGTAAATATATATATTTAATTGGAATTAAAATGCTAAAATTTCCTTTGGCTATAAGAATCTAAGATATGTTAGACAGTTTTTGTACCCTACTTTACAACCTCTGGATCTTTTTCCCTCTTTGGCAGTCACTGTGGTAACCAGCTACATTTGGAGGTTGAGGATACCACCATAAAGCTGCATTCCCTTATCTCTTGTTTTATGCTTCCATGGCTCTTTGTCGCCTCTGTGTCTGTTCTTCCAGGAAATTAGCTCCTCGGTGCAACTCTGGACCAATGAGGTAACCAGCTCAATAATATACTCTACGTTGGTTCTCCCTTCTGTGCTTCACTTTTACCAGTCCCTCATGCCTGTTCCTTAGAATCTCTTCCTAAAATATGTTACCTATATAGGCCTTATCTCAGGCCCTGATTTTAGGGGAACTTAAGCTAAAATCCCAGAGTTAAAATTTTTCTTCCAGATTCAGCTATTGTTACAAGAATTATTATTAGTATATCAATCAAAACAACACACATTACAAATTAACACTAAAGTTTTATTAAAGCTTTAATAAAACTACATCTCAGTGACATGACTTTTTAAATATGCCATCATGTATCTGTGGGAAGAACATTACTTACAGGTATAATGAGACAGGATTCAGCATTAATTCTATTTTTTATATCGAGTGTTCGCAAAATGTTAAAAAAAATTTCAAACAGATTCTAAGCATATGCAAAAGTTTTAGCTTATTAATAAGGACCAGCAAGATGACAAAACCAATTCAAAGTTGAAATACAATTATTAAATCAGATACAAACTGGTTAATGGACCTATCTTCTCCCTGGGAAAGAAATCATTTGCTTATTAGTTTTCTGTAAGTTAACATATAACTCTATAAAGCGGTAAAATGTCTGTACCCTAATTCATAGTAAATCAAGGACTTCCCTGGTCGTCCAGTGGTTAAGAATCTGCCTTGCAGTGATGGGTTGAGAGTTCGATCCCTGGTCAGCAAACTAAGAGCTCACATACTAACAGAGCAACTAAGCCCAAACACCGCAAGGAAAGATCCAGCATGATGCAATGAGGATCCCTTGTCCCACAGCTAAGACCTGACACAGCCAAGTGAATAAATATTTTAAAAAACAGTAAATCAAACGAAGCTATATTCTCTCAGAAAGTCAGTTAACCTTTTAGGGAGACTTGTTACAACAATGCTGTGTGCTTGCCTGCTCAAGTCACTAAGTCACATCTCTTTTGTGACCCATGTAGCCTTCCAGGCTCCTCTGTGGGCTTTTCCAGGCAAGAACACTGGAGTGGGTTGCCATTTTTTAAAATTCTCTGATTTATTCATTTAATAAATATTTATTACCTAAATATCTCCTTTGTGTCAGACATTTCAAGAATCTTGTCATGTACTCCGAATAATACTGATGAAGTACTTGCCCTCCTGCAGCTTACATTCTCAAAGAGAGAGGTAGAGAATGAACTTGTAACTTCAGCATAGTTACGAACAGTGCCTCCGTCACTCTGTGTTCCAGTGGAGGTGATACCTTATAAGGTCCCTCTTTTTATACTGCTGAAATAATATACAGGGTAAAGAGAAAGAGAGTGTGGGGGAGGGCAGGCTGTTACTACTAATAAAGTCAGTGAAGCTTTAGTGAGAAATGATGGTGCAAGGCCTGTAGATAGCACAGGGAAGAGTGGCCCAGGCAAACGCAACAGCAGATGCAGACTCTGATGCAGGGAGGCCCCAATATTTTCTGTTAACATTATTTTCTTGAAGGAGGCAGGAAAGGCTTTAAGCAGGGGAGTGACATGGTCACATCTGTGTTTTAGAAAGACTACTCTGCGGGAAGTTAAGGAGGATGGATGACAGGAGAGAATATTGGAGGCAAGTAGTCAAGTCACAGGCCGAAACAGTAGACAGGAAGTAGAAAAGGCCTGTCCTGTACAAAACAGTGACAGTGAGGATGGAGGGAATTTGGGTATTTGAAAAGTAGAAGAGACGAGTTCTGATGTCCCTGAGAATGTGGGAGATGCAGGTGTGGGAACAGCCCTAGATAGAGCTCCTGGATTAGGCCCTCAAGGTTAGTTTTCTTCCTGAAGTGCTCTCCCTCCATTCTCCAATAAGAAAAAGGCCATCACAACACATTTCCTTTTAAAGTTTTATTAAAGTTTAACGGAACAATTAATATTTTTTCTTTTTTTGTTGTTAATCCCAGTACAAAAATACAGTTGATGACTTGACAAAAATGGCTCCATCTAGGGCTAGAAGGTTTCTTCAACAGTTAACGGGGGGAAAGAAAGCATGCTTCCAGCTGGGGCCAGTCCAGAGCACACAGCCATTCCTGCACACGCATGCGCGCAGACAGGGAAGCCAAGCCAGAAAAGAGGAAGGAAGTTGCAGGCATTCAGGAAGAAGCCCAAGATTATTCCCAGGAGAAAAAGAAGAGACAGGCTGAGCTCCTTGGTGGGGCAGAATTACAGCTTTACATTTAGAATTTGTTGTCTTAAATGACAAGCTCCTTCCGCAATTTTTAACATTATAGAGAAGATGTTTCTGGTCTCTTTTCACCACCAAGGTGAGTTAAGCAGGAGGAATGGAAAGATTCAAATACTGCAGTGTGAGGAGTAAATCTCCAAATGGCTCAAGTTTTTTATGTCAAAAGGTGTCATTCTTTACCTTCAGTGACAGAGATATTTAGGTGAGAGGGGACAGGACAAGGCAGTCTGCCACACTCTGCTGGATCACAGACATGGAGACCAGTTTCTGGCAGCAGAACTCTTCCAACAGTGAGAGGGCCCCTTCCCATGTGGGAAGGAGCAAGGCTTCCTGACCCATTCAATTGTTCTGATTCCTCAGTATTCCCTTCCCTGCTGCTTTCTTCCAGAACAATAACTTTGAGGAAAGAAGGGATGCATTCAGGTTACAACTCATCTTCCAGATGTTTCTCTCTGAAGGCATCACCCGTCAGCCTTTCCTGAGCTTCCTTCATCCCTTGAACAACTGTGAAATAAACATTGAGGGGGAAAGTATGAAGCAGGTTTTTCATATTTGACAACCAACACATAATTTTATGTTTTAGGAGACATGTAAGAGGAGCACAGGATCTGGATTTAAGATCTAATTCTGGATTTTAGCCCAGGAGAGTCTCTTGAATTTGTTTTCTCATCTATAAATAAGGTGATGTTACTAACTTCAAACAGATTATAAAAATTAAATGAGAATGAATAATAAATATCCTCTGTAAACTATGAGGTCCTACAAAAATGTTATTTAGCAGTTACTTTGGCTTACCCTCCAGGATTAGAGTTGAAACCCTGTCATAAGCTGGAAATACACATGACACTAAGGGGATAGAAAGCATCTTCCTATCATTTCCATCACCTGTTCAGGATGAATGCTGCATTTATTTCATTTTCTGTGGGGGTTACACTGATATGTGAGCAAGTATGTGTGCTTAGAGGGAGGATGGTCTTCACAGAAAGAGGTGGTCATGTCCAGGACCAATTATGTATGGAAGAAGTCAAGTTATCAGGCAAAAGAGAAATCTGGAAGGCAGGCCCTGGGTAGACAGGAGATGAATCTTCTTGTCTTATCTCAGGAATCAAGGAGGGAAGCTGGGTATAGGCTCCCTGTACAATGGCAGGCCAGGTGTTAGGGTTGAGCCACAGTCTGTGGATCTCAGAAAACATAGAAGGTAGTAAAGTTGGTTATACCCCTTTAGTTTTGCCCAAGCATTTAGTAAATCCAGGTTTGAATATTTCAGCTTCATGTCAGCTGAGCCATGGGGAATTCAGGTAAAGGTTCTGTGTCCATATCTGGACTAATATATTAAAGGATGATGCCCATGTCAAGATGGCAGGGGTAACTGCATGAAATTCTAAAAGGAAGGTGAATTTCAAGGGTCAAGAGTTGGGGACCTAAAGTTCAGTTGCCCTTCTCCATGTGGAAAACTTCCCTCTAATACCAGCCTCCAGGGATCTGCTTTTGGGTAGGGAAGATAACATTCTCCTTACCCATGGGAAGGAGAGGATAACCTCTCCAGATCTTTCCTCTCCCTATTCTGAGAAATAAGAGTGCTGAGGACTCAAAACATAAAATGATAAACAAACTGGCAGCATGGCGAAGGAAGACACACGGCAACCCTGGCAACCCAAGAAATAACCCTCTTTTACAGATGGCAGGGAGAATTCAGAAGGAAAACAGTGACAGCATGTGGCATGAATTCCAACTTCTGTCTCTAGAATGGCTGCACTCAGGATTAGAGAACAAAAAATATGACTAACATGATTTAAATCTTCCCTCACATGTTTGTGCTGACGCTGTTCCCTCTGCCTTAAATAATGCTTTGCACATCCCTCTGCTGGTTAGGTCACATTCTTCAAGAATGTGAATCCAGTTATCATCCCCTCTAGCATGACTCCTGCACTCTCCATGTTGGGCTACACCTCAAACACACACACACTTTTCCCTTGCTTCCTTAGCTTGAAATGTCCTCTTCATATCAGACCAAAGAGACAAATTCTTATCCGTCTAGATCAAGTTAGTTTACTATCTATGAAACCTTTCAGAATTGATCATCTAACAGCATTCCCCTTCCTTTGAATTCTTACAAGAATGGTGTTAATGCAGTGAAAAAAAAAAACTAAGTTGTAGACTGAAATCCTGGCTCTGTGACTTATTAACTGTGAGTCCAAGGGCAAGGAACTGTTTCTGGCAGCCTCAGTTCTCCAGCTTCCTGTGGGTCAGTTAGCTTCCTACCTGATTGTGAGAAGCTAGAAGAGGGGCTCGCTCTTCTCTTTCTTCTATATCCTACACAGCACCTCGCCAAAAGCTAGATGCAGAAGATGCTCAGCTAACCTGCTGAATTAGTTTCCCATCAAACCTTGCATGTGCTTCATTCCAGTTAAACCTAGCAGCAACCCTCCCTCTTCTCTCTCAACATAACCATACCTTGCTCAGCACTGATGTAGAAATACTTGTAGCTGGGGTTTCCATTCTCGTTGATGATTTCAGGACGTACTTTGCCACTGGGATCTATTGTAGACAAAATGGCTATAACTACAACAGACAGGTACTTCAAGCATTATATGATATACTAGGGCTTCTGGAAGACGAGACCTGCCCATCTCTGCAGCCCCTAACTCACCACCCTCCCCCTGTGTTTCACATCGCAATCAAAATGAATCCCTTGGAATTCCCTGGACACAACCCACCCCCACCCCCACCCATGCCAATATGCTGTTCCATCTTTCTGGCATGTTCCTTTTCTGCTTGATGATAGTGGGATCCCATATTTTTATTTGTATTCCCCATAGAATCTAGCAGAATGCTGATCAAAGACAAGGTGGTCATTAAATCTCTCCCAGGAAACTGTTTCTGAGAAGATATTTGTCTGGTTACAGTACCCCCCCACTGCCTCAGCTCTGCTTCAGGGCAAGGGTGGGAAGTATGGCTTCTCTCGGCCCCTGTAGTGCCTAACTTGTGGCAGACAGTGCTTAACTTGTGGCTGATGCACAGATGATTGCTAAACGAATAAACAAATCATCAGCACTCTCCCATTGCTCACAAAAGCAGTTAGTTTGGGCGGGGGGCAGGGGCCAGGGGGGTTGTTTTATTGTTTATTATAAAAGCAGCTGGTTAATGGGAAAAGTTTTCCTTCAGACCTGAGGCTCTGGCATTTAGAATCCATCACTCCCTTTTGAAAATGGCTTTTGTTTTTAGCCATAACGACATAATTTCACTAGGCGGAGTCAGGGCCTTGATGCACTTCTCTCTCCTTCTGTACCATGGATCCCCAGATTAAGACATTTCACCTTACCCAGGAACAGGATTCGTGGAATATAACCCCCATCGGGGCTGAAATCTTCATCTTTGGGCTCCTCTTCATCCTATTAAGTGTAAAACTCAAGTCAGATTATGTTCCTTCTCTCCTCAAAACCTTTCAGTGGCTTCCTCTCCCACTCAGGGTAAGTCCTTGAAGTGGCCTGAGAGGCCCTACATGGCCTCCTACCTGGGCACTTCTCTAACGTCACACCCCAACCCTTGTTTAGTTTTCCTCAACCACACTAAGTTGCCTGTTGTTGCTATCATTAAACAAGCCAGGCATGCTCCCCACTCAGGCTTTTGGACTTGTTCTTACCTTCTGCCTGGACATACTTCCCCCTTCATCCAGGTGGCCCATTCCTTTTTCTGCTTCAAATCTTTGCTCAAATGCCATCTTCTTTTCTAATCACCTGATTAAAACTGCAAACTGTCCCCTCTATTCTTAATTTTTAACCACAGGATTTACCACCATCTGACATATTTTATTTTACTTATTTGTCTGCCTCCCCATATTCAAGTTCTCATATGTAACTTAACGCCAGCAAAGAAATTTGCTTGTTTTGTTCATTGCTTATTCCCAATACCTACATCACTGACTTGCACAGTTTTTCTTGAACGCATGAATTGATAAGATTGACATTTTAGTACAATTGTGAAGTTACCGTCCTCCCAGGAGACATGACCACACAGCTAGCTTTCTTTTTAAGAAATCTCTCAAGTTGGGGAATGCTGATTGAACACATTTGTGTTTTCTTTGAGTGGTGATTCTAACTTACCATAGAAAATGGTGAGGAGTTCAGATAGATAGGAATCAATAGTAACTTTGTCATTTATGGTGTGATTCCCATTTCAGAAGTTACACCAAAGAATATAATTTTGCCTTCAGTGAGGTGTGTTAGCACTCAGGCTATCTACTAGCTTTATTTTTTATTTTTAAAAATTATTTATTTATTTTTGGCTGTGCTGGATCTTCATTGCTGTGTGGGCTTTTCTGCAATTGTTGTGAGCAGGGGCTATTCTCTAGCTGCGGTGCGCAGGCTTCTCATTGTGGCAGCTTCTCGTGTTGCAGAGCGCAGACTCTAGAGCGTCTGGGTTTCAGCAGCTGTGGCACATGGGCTCCGTAGTGGTGATTTCTGGGCTCCAGAGCACAGGCTCAGTAGTTGTATTGCATGGGCTTAGTTGCTCTGCAGCACGTAGGATCTTCCTGGATCAGGGATCAACCTGTGTCTCCTGCATTGGCAGGTGGATTCTTTACCACTTAGCCACCAGGGAAGCCCCTATCCACCAGCTTTATAAGCAATCCCTTAGCTACCTCAACATTAACTGCTAATGTGTTCAGATTTCCAGTCCTGTGTTCAAATAAACATCATTTTACAGAAACGTAGGGCTAGGAGGATCATCACAGAGCATCCAAGAATCCCACATTTGAAGAGTACAGCCTAAGAGGCAGTACAAGTAGATCACAGTACCTATTCTTATCACTTACTCGGCTCTATGATCTTGACTAAATCACCTAACTCCTTCAGGTCTAAGATGCTCAATGTTTAAAATGGGAATGGTATCAATGGCCTAAAAATCCCTTCTAACTCCAAGGTCTGATATTCTGGCTTGGGATTCTAAGACCTCTGGCCAATGTGAAGTACAAAAAAGATATCTAACCAAGAAAAAGGAGGCTGTACATATAAGCCCAAAACAGAGTAGGATTTCAACTGAATCCTAGTTTTCAGGGAATTGTGGCCTGCATGTATGAGTACATCTTTAGTTATACAAAGATGTAAAACCATGACATAATCACAAACTAAAAATGAAAGAATCTTAAAAGTTAGTCATTTTAACCAATCTTTCTTCTTCTATTTCCTGCCACAAATGGGGGCTGGATGGTTCTACCATATCTGACACAAGCCTTAGTATTAGAGTTCAGAAGAAAAGCACATACATACAAGCAGACAACTCTGCTAAGATTTTTTTTTTTTGCTGAGTAAGATTTTATACCATCAATGATGTCAATTCTAAAACAGTGAAGACTTAAAATCACAGCAGAAAGGAGAAACTATGGAATTCTTACCTCAAGATTTACCATAACAAAATTATGGGAAAGTTCTGAAATTTCTGTAGATTCTGCAAATTTGGGCTTTAAAGCTGCGGGTTGGGAGGAACAGAAGAAAACATCATTTTCATACACAAAACTTAATTTGCTGAGATGATTCATGTAACTGACAGTTTTTCTAATCTTAAGACCCAGAAATCAGGACACCTGAATTCTGGTCCTGCTTCTGCCATTGACTTGCAATGCTGTGTATCCTTAAGTGATTGACTTCATTTCTCTGAAACTTTCATCTCATTTATAAAAAATAGATAATGAACACTGATGAAAAAATTACCACTATTTGCTTTTTTACATATTTCAGTAACATCTACTTAAGAACAGATGTAATAAAGACAATAAAGGAACAATACCATTAACGCACATGTATTACTAAACTAATAATTTACACTAATTTTGTACTTTTTCCAACAAGATTTTATTAAGTATAGCATACCAAACAAAAGAAGAAATCCGCCTGGGAAGTTGCAGGGTGGTATAACAGAAAGAACACATGCTGCATAGTAAGAAAACCTTACTAATTCAGTTCCCACCTCCTCCAGAAGACTCTGCTAACCACTCCTCATATCTCTTTTTGTATATACAACTGTTCATACAACTATTGTAGCACTTAATCCCATAATCTATATAACCATATCTTAATTGCCACATCCTTCAATCCCTTGCAAATACTACTGTCAATTTCTTGAGGGCAGGAATCTGTTCCATGTATTTCTTTGGTACTCCTACAAGCAATAAAGAGTACTGAGCCAAAGTCAGTGCTAATATTTTTAAAATGTTAACATTTGAGAACACATCTGAGGTCTGATCATTTCCACCTACCTTTGCAAGCTCCACACCAGGACTTATGGATAATCACCATCAGGGGCAATCCACTTAAAAACAAAACAAACAAATTATAATCTAGTAATTCCACTTTTTGAAAGGCACTCTAATAAAATGACCAACCAATGAAGACAAAGATTAATGTACAAGGATGTTCATGCAGCATAATTTCAATAAAAAGAATTTTAAGACAATCTATTCAATAATAGTGGACTATTATAACAAAATTATTGCTAAGTTCTGATGTTCCAGTAAATTGTGCAAATTTGGGCTTTAAAGCTATGGAGAAGAGATTAAAAAAAGAAAAAAACAAATTACAACATTTTCAAATGTTAGTTATATAACCACTAAAATGGTAACAAAATTTTTCATTGGTACACTGTTAAAATAAAATCTAGAACATAAAATTATTATCTCTGTTGTTGTTGTTTGGTTGCTAAGCCGTGTCCAAATCTTTGCAACACCATGAACTGCAGCACACCAGGCTTCCCTGTCCTTCACTATCTCCTGGAGTTTGCTCAAACTCATGTTCATTGAGTCGATGATGCTATCCAACCATCTCATCCTGTCGTCCCCTTCTCCTCCTGCCCTCAACCTTTCCCAGCATCAGGGTCTTTTCCAATGAGCTGATTCTTCGCATCAGGTGGCCAAAATACTGGGGCGCCAGCTTCAGCATCAATCTTTTTTTTTTTTTTCTACTATCTTTTTTTTCCATTTATTTTTATTAGTTGGAGGCTAATTACTTTACATCATTGCAGTGGTTTTCGTCATACGTTGAAATGAATTAGCCATGGATTTACATGTATTCCCCATTCCGGTCCCCCCTCCCCAGCATCAATCTTAACAATGAATATTCAGGACTGATTTCCTTTAGGATTGACTGGTTTGACGATCTTGCTGTCCAAGGGACTCTCAAGAGTCTTCTCCAACACCACAATTCGAAAGCCATCAGCCTTCTTTACGGTTCAACTCTCACATCCATACATGACTACGGGAAAAACTATAGCTTTGACTGTGGATCTTTGTCAGCAAAGTGATGTCTCTGCTTTTTAATAAGCTGTCTAGGTTTGTCACAGCTTTCCTTCCAAAGAGCAAGCATCTTTTAATTTCATCGCTGCAGTCACCGTTCATAGTGTTTGTGGAGCCCCCCAAAATTATTACCTATAGTTTCAACTATACAAACATGTAGAAAATAGTCTAAAAGGAAATGTTTCAAAACTTATCTCTAGATAATGGGATTGTTGATTTTACTACACTTTTTCTGTATTTTTCAATTTTTCTAGAATTAAGTGTAATTTCTTTTGGAGGGGATCTTAGTTCCCTGACCAGGGACTGAACCTGGGCCCCAACAGTGAAGGCATCAAGTCCTAACCACTGGAATGCCAAGGAATTCCCAATTAAGTATAATTCTTTTATCATCAGGGAGGAAAAAGCTTTTTCTCTTATAAAATAATAAGCACCATATTCCACCTGAGTCAGTCTTGGCCAGCTGAAGCTCCAATACTCTCAAGGCTCAAATGTCAACTTGCAGAAGGGTCCTATGTCAGCAGCCACTGGCTTTCTCCATCATCCACCCCCCTGTCACCACATCATCACAGGCGTATACTATCAGAGCATTTAGCACACTGAACTGTATCTATTATTTACTCATCTCCCCTCACTGGCCTTAGAGCTTCCTAAGGAAGGGCCTCTTAGCTGTCTCTATATACTCTACAACTAGTACAGTATTATCGGTAGCCAAAATGTATATAGTATTCACTATGTACCAGGCACTACTCTACAGCAGACTGGTTCCAAATTGTGAAAGGAGTAGTCAAGGCTGTATATTGTCACCCTGCTTATTTAACTTATATGCAGAGTACGTCATGTGAATGCTGGGCTGGAGGAAGCACAAGCTGGAATCAAGATTGCTGGGAGAAATATCGATAACCTCAGATATGCAGATGACACCACCCTTATGGCAGGAAGTGAGGAAGAACTAAAGAGCCTCTTGATGAAAGTGAAAGAGGAGGGTGAAAAAGTTGGCTTAAAACTCAACATTCAAAAAACAAAGGTCATGGCTTCTGGTCCCATCACATCATGGGAAATAGATAGGGAAACAATAGAAACAATGAATGACTTTATTTTTTGGGGGCTCCAAAATCACTGGAGATGGTGACTGCAGTCATGAAATTAAAAGACGTTTGCTCCTTGGAAGAAAAGCTATGACCAAACTAGACAGCATAGTAAAAAGCAGACATTACTTTGCCGACAAAAGTCCATCTACTCAAAGCTATGGTTTTTCCAGTAGTCATGTATGGATGTGAGAGTTGCACTATAAGGAAAGCTGAGCACCAAAGAATTGATGCTTTTGAACTGTGGTGTTGGAGAAGACTCTTGAGAGTCCCTTGGACTGCAAGATCAAACCAGTCCATTCTAAGGGAATCAGTCCTGAATTTTCATTGGAAGGACTGATGCTGAAGCTGAAACTCCAATACTTTGGCCACCTGAGGCAAAGAACTGACTCACTGGGAAAAAACCCTGATGCTGGGCAAGAATGAAGGCAGAAGGAGAAGGGGATGACAGAGGATGAGATGGTTGGATGGCATCACCGACTCAATGCACATGAGTTTGAGGAAGCTCTTGGAGTTGGTGATAGACAGGGAAGCCTGGAGTGCTGCAGTCCATGGGGTTGCAAAGAATTGAACACGACTGAGCAATTGAACTAATCATCTGTTTACTACTAATTTCTCAAGGGTAAAGACTATCTAAACCATCTTTCAAAAATATAAGCCCCTATCTATTATTTGTTTAATGAGATGCATGAAAGACAAGCTTAAAGGGCTTTTGCCTTGAAGAACAGAACGAAGCACCCAGTTAGGGAAGTTGTCATGATAGTGACACCATGTTAAGAACAAGATGTTGAGACTCACTGAGCAAAGTACTTTTGATAGAAGGCATAAGAGGAATACATACATTTGTATCTAAAATGTTACATTAAGTAAATTATATGAAGAACATAAAGCTACATTAAGAGAAAGAGATGCCAGCACATTGCCTTTTTATAAATGATTTTTATTAAATGAAACAACCTAGTGGTTTTATCTTTCAATTCCACTAGACCCAAAGCTTCCCAAGGATAGAAACCAGTGGATCTGTGACCCCGGGCCTCAGGTCAGAGACTAGCCAAACGTAGGCACGGTACTTAAAAAACTGTGGTATGAAGAAAGGGCCAGCACAGATGCAGAATTGTGCTATGTTCAGTTCTGTTCACAATTATTATAAAATAATTCATCCATCCCATCTGCTCTCCCACACTCCAGATGCAAGAAATCGGTGGTGTGTGACAGACTAAATAGAACTCAATCTATGCAAGCTCTGTCCACTTGAGCTTTGTCCTTTAGAGAAATTTGCCTAGATCCTCAGACAGTGCTCCATCCTCTAGTATCAAGTTTGCTGTAAACTCAAGGCCTGGCACAGAGGGATCCAGGAGGGTATGAGTGGATCAGTCACAACAGCTCTAGTACTACACGTCAATGTATTCTTCAGAACTTTATTCTTCCCAGAGAAATGTTGTAGTGGTTAGACAAGAAACCATGGTTTTCCCCTCACTTGCTCCGGTTAGTGCAGGCTCTGGCTCAGATACTGCAGAAACATGTTGGCCAGTTGAGGCAGGTTCTCATTGTTGGGATGCATTTTGGTGTAGGAAATAAACTGACGACGGAGGCGACTCAGTTCTGCCATGGTCAAAGGCCTAGTAAACTGCAGGTGCTCTGTGGTGCCAGGAAGCTTAAGCAGGTCTCCGGGGACTGCACTCTTCTGCGCTTCCATCAGCCCTGTCAGCACCTGGCTGGTGACCTGGTCCAACTGGTGCAGAAAGCTGCTGGAGGCAAGTGGCTGGGACTGTGTAGACTGATGGGGTGGAGGGGCCCGGTTCTCAAACAGGGCAGCTCTGATCTCTGCCAGGGGCAATGGCTCCTCTAAGCCCACCAAGGTGAACAGGGGTCGGTCCCAGCGGTTCCGAGAGTCGGGAGCTTCGAAGCGCAGCGCTAGGGCATCCAAAAGTTCGGGAGGGTAAAAAGCACCAGACACATGCTCGGCATACTCCGAAGCCACAAGAGCTGGAAAATCTGCCGCCCTGGTTTCCTTTTCCTCGGATTCCGTAGGTACTTCTGCCTGGGCTCGCCTATTTACTGTACCGAGGATATCGGTGCCCACCGCCAGAGGTCTCCCTCCCTCCTCAGCTCGTGGTCTCCAACTCACACTGACATTCGGGTTCGGATTCTCCACGGCGCCTGCCACCTGCACTCCCCCGCTCAGACTGCCTGGTCGAACGCAGTAGACGAGGCAGAGCGGAGTGCGCGCCGCCCGCGCCAAGCAGTAGAGCTCATAACGGAAGCCCTTGATGTAGTTCAGCGAGTCGAGGATGACCACGTCCTGGCGACTCAGGCGCCGCTCCACAGCCGCTCGCAGGGCCCCACGCAAGGCCTTCTCACGAGCTGAATCGCCATACACTGTTGCGTCCTCCGCGCCCAGCACCGCCGCATCGTCCACCACATGCACCGCGCGGCCCTCACCCTCCAGGGCAGCGCGGAGCTCCTCCACGCGCCGGCTCTTGCCGCTGTACGGCAGCCCGCAAAACACCACCAGCGGCATCCTTCCAGGGCGCGTCCATGTGCAAACGCGCCGCGTCAACTTCCGGGTTGCCGGCAGCTCTGACCAAACCGGAAACGAAAGCGGTACTTCCTGTATCTCTTTACTCTTACAGGACCTCTTGTTGCCATGGAAACAGGCGCTCCAGGCCAACTAGATCCAGGTCCTGCTCTCTGCAAAAGGAGCTGGAGCTTAGAATGGCATCAGTTACCTATGTAAAATGTTTTAGGTCTCGGAGAATGTGATCTCCTGATGGCCAATGACCGTGTCCATCAATTTACAGTGGGGGCCTTAAACAGCATTCAATATTGCTCAGCTATCAATGCAAAGAAATAGAGGAAAACAATAGAATGGGAAAGACTAGAGATTTCTTCAAAAAAATTAGAGATACCAAGGGATCATTTCATGCAAAGATGGGCTCAGTACAGGACAGAAATGGTATGGACCTGACAGAAGCAGAAGATATTAAGAAGAGGTGGCAAGAATACACAGAAGAACTGTACAAAAAAAGATCTTCACGACCCAGATAATCACGATGGTGTGATCACTCACCTAGAGCCAGATATCCTGGAATGTGAAGTCAAGTGGGCCTTAGGAAGCATCACTATGAACAAAGCTAGTGGAGGTGATGCAATTCCAGTTGAGCTATTTCAACTCCTAAAAGATGATGCTGTAAAGTGCTGTACTCAATATGTCAGCAAATTTAGAAAACTCAGCAGTGGCCTCAGGACTGGAAAAGGTCAGTTTTCATTCCAATCTCAAAGAAAGGCAATGCCAAAGAATGCTCAAACTACTGCACAATTGCACTCATCTCACACGCTAGTAAAGTAATGCTCAAAATTCTCCAAGCCAGGCTTCAACAGTACGTGAACCATGAACTTCCAGATATTCAAGGTGGATTTAGAAAAGGCAGAGGAACCAGAGATCAAATTGTCAACATCCGCTGGATCATCGAAATAGCAAGAGAGTTCCAGAAAAACATCTACTTCTGCTTTATTGACTATGCCAAAGCCTTTGACTGTGTGGATCACAACAAACTGTGGAAAATTCTGAAAGAGATGGGAATACCAGACCACTTGACCTGCTTCTTGAGAAACCTGTATGCAGGTCGGGAAGCAACAGTTAGAACTGGACATGGAGCAACAGACTGGCTCCAAATAGGAAAAGGACCACGTCAAGGCTGTATATTGTCATCCTGCTTATTTAACTTCTATGCAGAGTACATCATGAGAAACGATGGGCTGGAGGAAGCACAAGCTGGAATCAAGATTGCTGGGAGAAATATCAATAACCTCAGATATGCAGATGACACCACCCTTATGGCAGAAAGTGAAGAGGAACTAAAAAGCCTCTTGATGAAAATGAAAGAGGAGAGTGAAAAAGTGCTTAAAACTCAACATTCAGAAAACTAAGATCATGGCATCTGGTCCTATCACTTCATGGCAAATAGATGGGGAAACAGTGGGAACAGTGGCTGACTTTATTTTTGGGGGCTCCAAACTCACTGCAGATGGTGATTGCAGCCATGAAATTAAAAGACGCTTTCTCCTTGGAAGAAAAGCTATGACCAACCTAGACAGCATATTAAAAAGCAGAGACATTACTTTGCCAACAAAGGTCCATCTAGTCAAGGTTATGGTGTTTCTACTGGTCATGTGTGGATGTGAGAGTTGGACTATAAAGAAAGCTGAGTGCTGAAGAATTGATGCTTTTGAACTGTGGTGTTGGAGAAAACTCTTGAGAGTCCATTAGACTGCATGGAGATCCAACTAGTCCATCCTAAAGGAAATCAGTCCTGAATATTCATTGGAAGGTCTGATGCTGAAGCTGAAACTCCAATACTTGGGCCACCTGATGTGAAGAATAAACTCATTGGAAAAGACCCTGATGCTGGGAAAGAGTGAAGGTGGGAAGAGAAGGGGATGACAGAGGATGAGATGGCTGGATGGCATCACTGACCGGATGGACATGAGTTTGAATAGGCTCCAGGAGTTGGTGATGGACAGGGAAGCCTGGTGTGCTACAGTCCATGGGGTCACAAAGAGTTGGGCACAACTGAGCAACTGAACTGAACTGATTGCAAAACAATCAACATTATATTTAGTATATAGAGGACAATTCACAAATACTAGTTCCCCTTCATTCCTTATGGCCAGTGACATTCAGTAACTGTTTATTCAATAACAATTTCAATCATTCAGTATCTTCACAAATAAGAATACAGAGATGAACATAAAACAGTTTCCCCACAGGAGATCCAAGGGTCTGAATGGGAAAAGTCATGCACCTACAAGCTGAATAATATACACGCTAATGGATAGAGGTAGGCTGGGTTGTAAAAGTACAGAAGAAAAAAACATACTGCCCAAAAAAATTGCTGAAGACTTTTAGAAGTAGTCATTTGATTTAGAACTTGAAAAACGAATAGGAATTTTTCTCCTTGGTAAGGATGCCAGATAAAATATAGGATGCCTAGGGCTTCTTTGGCAGTCCAGTGGTTAAGACTCCAAACTTCCACTGCAGAGGGCATGGGTTTGATCCTGGTCAGGGTGCAAGATGTGGCATATATATACACACACATATGTCACATGTATATACATATATATACACACAAATATATCATATATATATATACACACACACAGAAGATGCCTAATTAAGTTTGAATTTCAGATAATTAATACATACTGTTTTTAAAATAAGTATGTCTCAAATATTACTTGGAGCATATTTAAAATTACTTATTGTTGGGAATTTGCTGTTATGACTCAGGGAACTCAAACTGGGGCTCTGTAACAACCTAGAGGAGTGGAAAAGGGTGGCAGGTGGGAGAAAGGTGAAGAGGGAGAGGACATATGTACACCTATGGCGAATTCATGCTGATGTATGGCAGAAATCAAACCAATGTTGTAAAGCAATTATCCTTCAATTAAAAATAAATTTTAAAATAAATGAATAAAAGTACTTTTTATCTGAAATTCAAGTTTAACTGGGCATCCTTTAAAATTTTTTTTTATTGAAGTATAGTTGCTTTACAATGTTGTGTTAGTTTCTACTGTATAGCAAAGTGAATCACCTGTAGATATACATACACCCCTTCATTTTTTTATTTCCTTCCCATTTAGGTCACCACAGAGCACTCAATAGCGTTTCCTAAATTAGACAGTAGGTTCTCATTAGTTATCTATTTTATAAATAGTATCAATAATGTATTTACGTCAACCTCAATCTCCCAATTCATCCCACCACCCTTCATCCCCTTGGTGTTCATAAGATTATAGTCATCCTCCATTTGTATTTGCTAAATTTGGCAACCCCACCTCTGCAGAAGATATGAGTCTCAGAGCCATGAAGCTATAGGATCTGTTTTAGCAAAAGCAAGCATTATCATTTGGTAGGTGCAGAAGTATGAGTGTTTCTATGCAAGGATGTGTGTGTATAAAGTAAGTGCAAACATACTGGATTTTTGTATCTCCCCAGTACAGTATAGCAGAGAATGTGCATTTCCTCCTCCATTTGTATGTTTCCTGTCCATAGACTACACATACTTGGAACTTAAGACTATTCAACTTGAGACTATAAGGCAGTATGTTTTACTGGCTGAGTGTAGGATTTGAAGTGTCTGGGTACAGATCTTGGCTCTACCACTTAACTAGCTATATGTGCCTTAGTTTGTTCATCTGTAAAATGAAGATAACAACAGTACCAACCTCAGAAGAGTTGTTTTTAGAATGAAATGAGTTAATTCACATAATAAACGTCTGGTGCATAGTAAGCACTTAAAAATGTTAGCTACTTTTGTTGTTGTTATGCAACTGCTCCACTGCTTTGCCTTGGCATAACCCTTCACCTGAAATTCATGCTAAGTTGATGGCTGGAAAGTGTTATAGATAAGCTAAAACTGTATCTTATACCTGGCAGCTGCTTCCTTCTTCCCATCTTCTAGGGTCCTCCAATGAATGTGATCTCCAAAACCTGGAAGGAAAGAGCCTCATAAATATTCACACGTGAACAAAGGGCAAAGACCCATGAAAGAAATGTAGCATATTCACAAGATACTCATAAAAAAGCCTTTCCTTTGTCAAGAGCATGGTGTTCAAGTCTCAACTCCACTGCTTTCTAGGTGTATAGAACCATGGACAGTCCCATACCTCAAGTCTCAGTTTTCATACCTGCAAAATGGAGATAACGTCACCTAATTCAGTTTTTAAGGAGATTAAATTATTAATGGCTATGAAAAGCTTTGTAAAGTAACAGAGTATGCAAATAATACTATAAGAAGGAAGGAGAATTTCCCAGTTACCATAAAGCAGGTCCTAACAAATCACTGCTAGTTGGAGTCAACACAGCAGTATAGTTTAAAGAGGCAGAAAGACATTAAATGTGTGAGTTTCGTAAATGAAGTAAGTTCTTGGAAGTCCCAGTTTCTTCATCTATAAAATCAAGAATAATACCCGTACCTCCAAGTGGTGGTGTAAGGATTTTAAGACATTATATTTTGAGACAATATAAAGTTATTCTTGTTATTATTCCCCCCACTTCAGCTACAGTGATCTTTTAAAATCACATCTTTGCTTGGTAAAATATCTTTCAGAGGCGTTTCAAAGCCCTAAAAAGGAAGGTCAAACTCTTACAGATGGGTTTCTGAAGCAGAATATGGCTCCTACCCACCTCTCCAGGCTCACTTTCCACACTTTTCTTAAAATCTTACACAAAAAACTAACTTGCAGGAGCAGTTCTCTCAGGATTACTTGAGATGCTGTCTCCCAGGCTTGAAGTCCTAAAAATTTCCACCAAATAAAACATAACTCTCAAAAAAAAAAAAAAACAACTTAATTTTCATTTCCTTAAACACAATATGCACTCTCTCTCCCTTTCAGCCTTCATAGACACTGCTTCCCTTGCCTCTCCTCCCTTTGTCACCTCCAGTTCATTCTTCAGGTATGAAAGGAGCAGGCATCCTTCTGGGAAACCTTCTCTGGCTCCCCAAGCACTCTATTCTTGCCCCATCACAGCACTTCCCAGGCTGAACTGTAAATGTTTATGTGTGTCTGCCTCCTGGGCTGGGACCATATCTGTCTTAGTCCCTCCTGTTTCCCTAGCATTTTGCATACACGGGGCTTCCCTGGTGACTCAGAGAGTAAAGAATCTGCCTGCAATGCAGGAGCCCTGGGTTTGATCCCTGTGTGGGAAAGATTCCCTGGAGTAGGAAAGGTCAGCCCACTCCAGTGTTCTTGCCAGTAGAATCTCATGGACAGAGGAGCCTGGCAAGCTACAGTCCATGGGGTCACAAAGAGTTGGACGTAACTAAGCGACTAACATTTTCATTTTTCATGGCTATAGTAAGTGCTCCACAAAATATTTATTGAGCAAATGAATATTATTTAGGCCATCTCACATAAATGACTTAATTTTGCATCTTGAAAATGGTGACCCTGATAATGCTAGCTGTTATTTATTGACCAATTTACACATGTCTTGCACATCACACGTTATCTTATTTTTTATTTTTTTATGTTATCTTATTTAAATTTATTCTTAACAATAACCCTTACACTGAACCTCTCTATATTTCCATTAAAATAGACATAATAATAGCTGTATCTTGTCTTTCCAACCCTGGCTGCACGATGGCTCCTGCAGAGAAGGATGGTGAGAAGGGCTGGGCCACTATCAACGGAGGTGGTAACTAGAGAATACACTATGAACATTCACAAGCATCCATGGAGTGGGTTTCAGGAAGCATGCCCCTCAGGCACTCAAAAGAAAGCTGGAAATTCGCCATGAAGGAGATGGGAACTCCAGATGTATGCACTGACACTAGGCTCAACAAAGTTGTCCGGGCCAAAAGAATAAATAATGTCCCATACTGTACCTATGTGCCTACCTGCACAGGGTTGTCCAGGAAATGTAATGAAGATGAAGATTCACCAAACAAGCTCTATATCTTGTTTACCTATGTACCTGTCACCACTTTCAAAGATCTACATACAGTTAATGTGGATGAGAACTAACTGCTAATGGTTCTATAAAGTTATAGAACCTCAAGAACAAGACAAAAAACCAATAGAAAACCTGTATCTCATAAGACTGTTGTTGAACATTAAATTACATATATATATTATATATATATATATATAATATATATATATAAATCTTAACACAGTGCTTAGCAGATTGAAAATGATCAGTAAATAGCACCTTTTGTCATTCTTTACAATTGAGACTTTTGAGACTCAGAATACACAGCCTATCAGTTCAGTTCAGTTCAGTCGCTCAGTCATGTCCGACTCTTTGCGACCCCATGAATCGCAGCACGCCAGGCCTCCCTGTCCATCACCAACTCCCAGAGTCCACCCAAACCCATGCCCATAGAGTCGGTGATACCATCCAGCCATCTCATCCTCTGTCGTCCCCTTCTCCTCCTGCCCCCAATCCCTCCCAGCATCAGGGTCTTTTCCAATGAGTCAACTCTTCGCATGAGGTGGCCAAAGTACTGGAGTTTCAGCTTCAGCATCAGTCCTTCCAATGAACACACAGGACTGATCTCCTTTAGGATGGACTGGTTGGATCTCCTTGCAGTCCAAGGGACTCTCAAGAGTCTTCTCCAACACCACAGTTCAAAAGCATCAATTTTTCAGCCTATACCAGGTCACATAGCTGATAAATGGCCAAGTGGGAGTTTTAAGTTCAACTTTATGACTTTTGGTTACTATACATACTGTCCATGAGGCCTTTCTTTCCCAGAAATTTCCATCAGCTTAGCACAGGGAAATAAACAGCTTATCCAGATTAGAACTGAGAGGCAGTATCCAAACTAACCATCACTTTTCATTCCAAACAGCATGGTTTACTGGCCAAGGGGAAATGTGTCACTTGCCTACAGCCCAAAGTCTAATCCTAGAGAGAGAATGACCAAGTGACAGTGAAACTGGGAAGATGCCCAGGAGAACTGGAAGGCGCCTTACTATGACCATCATCATTCTACCTGTCAAAACCTAAACTCAGGCAACAGAACACTGCTTTGGAGAGATGCCTGACTACAGTCTGGAGGGATATCCACCTACAAAACAATGAAATCCTACATAAAACAGACTTTCCAAAAGGCACTCACTGGGCTCAAAGTAATAGACACAAACACAAAATAAGCTTAAATCAGACAAGGAACAATGAGCAACAAGCAAAAGGCAAGGCTAACCTGAAAGCAGATGTGGCAAGATGGAGGAGATGAATCTGAGACTCCATTTTAACCCAGCTGTCAAAAGCAACTAGAGTGATTCCAGGGCAGTAATTAGTAGCCCCTGCTTTCCAGATGAATCAAATGCCAAACATTCCTAGAGGAAAGCATTACTAATGTTAGGCCTCCAGGATAATTTATATAAATAACCATTATGAGCTCACAATCATAGATCACGAAACCTGTAAGCAAAGAAGTCACCACAAGTAAGACTCAGCAGAAGCAGCAAATAAATAAGAGGACTTCCGATATTAGAATGATCAGGCATAGGATACAAAAATAACTACTATATAAACATTTAAAGAAATAACATATGGCAAAACAAAAATATGCATATAACAAAACATAAAATAGGCAAAACTGTAAAGGCACCAAATAGAATTTTTTTTAACTAACGTGATTTTTGAAATACAAAATCAATGAATATTCAGTGATACACAGAAATGAGTCATTAAGCCATAAAAAGACATAAAAGAGTCGACTTCCCTGGTGGCTCACATGGTAAAGTGTCTGCCTACAATGCGGGAGACTTGGGTTCGATCCCTGGGTCTGGAAGATCTCCTGGAGAAGGAAATGGCAACTCACTCCAGTGTTCTTGCCTAGAAAATCCCATGGACGGAGGAGCCTGGTAGGCTACAGTCCATGGGGTTGCAAAGAGTCAGACACGACTGGGAGACTTCACTTTCAAAGTGCATACTGGTAAGTGAAAGATGCCAATCTAAAAAGGCTACATAATGTAGGATTCCAATTATATATGACTGGTGTCTGGAAAAGGCAAAACTATGGAGACAGTAAAAGACCACACTAATGCGGGGGAAACTGAGATAGGGAAAGGTGAAGTGGTAAGGGTTCACATGGGAACTCTGCATTTTCTGCTCAATTTTCTACAGATCTTAAATTGTTCAAAAATAAACTCTACTAATTAAAAAACAATTCAATGGATAGGTTAAAATAGCAAATTAGAGACAGGTGGAAAAGTGAATCAGATGTTATCCAGAATATAGCATAGAGATAAGGAGAGAAAATGTAAAATAAATAGACAGTAGATTAAGAAAAGATCGGTATATATAAAATTGGAATCTCAGAATGCAAAGTTGAAGAAAAAAACTTATCTGAAGAGATAATATACTGGAGTGGGAACTGGATGCCTGAAAAACAAGAGTGGAAGGAAAAATATACCTCTTAGAAGTATTAAACCATGCTAATGTATCATATCTACTTAAAAACACATTTGCATTTTTTAGAAAGAAAAAAAGATGAATGATAGCATTTTCAAGAACCAAGATAAAACATGAACCTGCAGATATAAGAAGCACAATGTATAACTGACAAATTACAAAAACAAAACACACACATATAAATTGTAGTGAAACTCCAGAACAACAAAATATTAAGATCTTAAAAACATTTCAAAGAGAAATGACGTATTTCCATTAAAAGATCGACAATTTGACAGTAACAAATTGGAAATCAGAAGATGGCAAAACATGACTTTCAACATGCTGGAAGAAAATATCTCTAAATTTAGAATTATGTACCTAGCAAAACTATCTTTCAAGAACAAGGGCAAAATAGACATTTTTAGATAAACTGAGGTATTTTTCTACCATCAGGTAGTCACCACTCATTATTTCAGTAAGTATTTATTGAGCAGTATTATGCAGTGGTTAAGAGCATGGACTATGGACTTAGACTCTCTGGTTTTGATTCCTCTAGTTTTTTTTTTTTTTTTTTTTTT